ACCACCAGCAGGAAGTAGCACTCGTGACCCTGTCACTGACGCGGGCGGGCCCCACACGTCCATGTGAAGCGTCTGCAGCGGGGCCTCTGTCGGGGGAAACTGAGAGGAGTGAGGGCAGCCCGCTGCCGCCCCTCTACACAGGGAACAGAGGTAGGGCCAGGCCCCAGAGGAAGGGGAGGGAGGGACCGGGGAAGACCAGAGACAAGGACACGAAGAGGCCATGCTTCGGAGACGAAGCAGGGAGGGTGACCAAGTCGGTGGTGCCAGAGGAGAGTCCTGTGAGACACGGAGACGACACGAGCAGGGGGCAGACTCAGAACCAGACCTGGGCGCTGCAGCAAACACCTGACCCGACGCAGCTACCTGATCAGATGCAGGGACTGGAGGAGACGCAGTGGTCAGCGTGTACAGGCTCGACCCCGGCCGACGTGTAAACGTGGCCAGGTGTCGGCCTGTCCGAGCGTCCGTGCAGTGGGTCACCCGCTGACTCGCAGGAGTGTAACTGGTGAACCCCCGCATCTTGTAGGTCAGCACCACTCACCAAGTTCGTAGAGAACGAGGGGAGGTAAAGACCAGACAGGGTGCCAGAGGGGGCCGCCGGACACGGGAGGACAGTGGAGAAGTGAGCAAGGACAGGACCCCCAGAGGGGTCTGCCAGAGAGACTGCAACTAGCCGACCAAGCGGCGTGAGTGTGGTGCGGTCTCGAAAGAAGGAGCGGGAAGCCCCAGAGTCAAGAGTGAAGGTGTGAGAGGCCGGAGCCGACGCGGTACCCTGAGAGAGCAGACTCACCCGCACCTGAGGAAGCAGACTCACTAGCACCTAGAGTAGCAGCCGCACATGTACCTGGAGCAGGAGACTCACTAGCACCCAGAGCAGCAGCCTCACCAGTAGCTAGAGCAGCAGGCTCTATACCCGGGTCAGGCGGTACGCACAGGTGACCGGCACGGTCAGCACTAGTAGGCAATGCATACATGGCAGTGAGAATAGCATCATAGTCAAGAGCAAATATATCTATCCTCTGCCTAAGCAACTCCACCCAGTCGGGGAGCTCAGCCTCGTTGCCAAACGCGGTACGCCAGGCGTCGCTCAGACGGGCGAAGTACTGGGACTGCGTGTGACTAGGTGTCCCACAAGGCTGACCAGTCCGAGCACCAGTGCGAATCACGTAAGAGCAGCGAACAGAACTAAGAGACCCTCCACTCTGAGCGTACCACTCACGAAGCTGCTGGGGCGTGAGAGACGCGCGTGGGCGTCGCTTTAGCTGCATCTGGCCGCCACCAGTAGTAGTAGCAGCAGTAGTGGTAGCAGTAGTAGCGCCGCCACCCCTACAACCCCAACCAGCGTACCACTCACGCAGCTGCTGGGGCGTGAGGGACTCACGCGGACGTCGCTGGGGCTGCATCTGGCTCCGCCAGTAGAAGCAGGAGCAGGAGTAGCAGCAGTAAGGCAGGCAGCCAGGCAGGCCGAAAGGCAGGGCAAGGGCTCACCAGTGGTGGAAGAGCAGGCTCGGCGACTCGGCGGTGCGGGCTGCTCGGGAGGCTCGGCAGCACGGCGGCTCGGCAGCAACTGCGGCTCAGCGGGCTCGGGCGACTCAGGCGGCTGGGCGGCAACTGCGGCTCGGCGACTCGGCGGCTCGGGCGGCTCGAGCGACTCGGCAGCAACTGCAGCTCGGCGGCTCGGCGACCCGGCAGCTCGGGCGGCTCAGGTGGCGCTGAGCCTCGGGCGGCTCGGGTGGCTGGGGCGGCTCGGTAGCAGTTCAGCAGCGCCGGCGGCTCGGTGGTGACGGCGGGGCCGCTTGGGGACAGCGGCGGGGCCTGGTGGAGCGGTGACAGGGCCAGCAGAGGTGGCGCCGGGGCCGTAGGGTAGGTGACGGGGCCAGCAGAGGCGGCGCCGGGGGCCGCAGAGGTAGGCGACGGGGCCAGTAGAGGCGGCGCCGAGGCCGGTAAGGGCGGCGTCGGGGCCAGCAGAGGTGGCGCCGGGGCCGGGAAGGGCAGCGCCGGGGCCGCAGGGGTAGGCGACGGGGCCAGCAGAGGCGGGGCCGCAGGGGCAGGTGACGGGGCCAGCAGAGGCGGGGCCGGGTCGGGAAGGGCGGCGTCGGGGTCGCCGGGGTAGCGACGGGGCCAGCCAAGGTGGCCCCGGGGCCAGGAAGGGCGGAGCCGGGGCCGGGATGGGCGGCGCCGGGGCCGCAGGGGTAGGTGACGGGGCCGCTAGGGCGGCGGATCGGGGCCGCGAGGGCGGCGCGGACGCGGCCGCTAGGGCGGCACGACGAGATGGGGCCGCGATGGGGTAGCGGGGAGTGGCGCGCCTAGAAGGAACGGGGCCGCGCGCCTCGGGGCGCGCGCCAGAGAGAAAATCGCCGCGCGCCAACGGCGCGCGCAGAGATGAAATATACGTCGCACGTCACGGGGCGTGCGACAGATCGAGTAGCAGCGGAAGCAGTAGTAGGGCCCACAGGCCAGGAGCATATGTGTTCTGAAACCATGTGAAAATGAACGAGAATGAATGCACTATGAAAGAGTTGGGTACAAGTACTAACCCTAATTGGGTTGTACCCCATATAGGCTACCCCACTACAGCGTACACAAAAGCATAAGCTATAATGTTCTGACAACGTCTTGTGTAAAGGAGTGGTTCTTATACATCTCTGTCGTGAGCTAGTAAGGTGCAGAAATGTTATTTCAATCATTGTAGAAGTAGTTGGGTTACCCAGAGAGTGACGCAAAGTTGTTGACTAGGAGAACTGTGGAGCGCTTAATTGAAGAAGTCAAGGGACCTTGAAGATGGGGTAATCTGGAGGACCAACCTAGTACTGCACGGCTCAACTCCAAAGGTGAGACACAGAATTGGTGGCGGCTCGGAAAGAGAGGTCAAATAGTCAGCCAGAACATCTAGTCATTTGTTCTCTCGTTTGTTTACTGAGTACAGTGGATTTAAGTTAGCAATGTAAGCTACGACAGCTATGTGACTAAGCCACTCGGAGTAGCCAGAATGTGGGCGCCTGGATCTCTCCCAAACGAGAGAAAGACCGCCACGAGTTGCGGTGGCAGCGAACGTACACACGGTGTGAATCTGCGCTGCCGCAACGAATTCTCTCACAGGAGCGCGGGAGGTCGCCTGCACATTCGCCAAGGACGGCGGTGTACCGCGCAGATCCGTACACCTGTCGGCGGACGTCGCGAAGGAGGTGAGCTCGATCCGCATGCAAGGATGGAGCCCAGGCCTCACCCGTCCTGCAGCGATCCTTGGAAACTGGCAGGCAGCCAGCAAGGAGCGGGTGGAAGGCGTCGGGATGTTGCTGACGAGCTGAACTTTCCGAAGTCACCAAGCGAGGCTGACAGTGAGGAAGAAGATGAAGATACCCCAACTGCGCGGGGTGGGGAAAAGCAAGCTGAAGACGCGGATGATGAAGTTCTGCAGTGCCAACACGGAGAAGAGCTTGAGGAGCCTGATGAAGGGGCGGAAATGGATCATGTGTCTGATAATATGCAAGGGGAGGCGGCAAGGCGGAGTGGAGGCGCAAGAGCTCCTCGATCGCCAAATGGACGTCCTGACGGAGGCAAGCGGAGTCATGCACCAGCGGGGGCGTATCGCTCACCGGAAACCACGACAGGAACCTGAGAGGAGGAGGCGTATGGTGATGGGAACTTGGCGACCGCCAGAGCCGTGGGATGACGAAGAGGAGGATCGATGGGAGCTGCTGGGGAATACTGCTGCCTGGTCAGACGAAGGGAGACATTAGGAGAACATGGACCCACGATCGGGTAGGAAGGGCCCGTGGGGAGATAGGAAGGACAGGAGAGTAGCAAGAGAAAGCGAGTGACTGGCTAAGGACGGACGTGCGACAGGTCTTGCTGTTAGTGTTAGCCTTCAATCTCAATAATTGTACTTTTTATATCATAGCATAGTGTAGTTTCCACTTTGGGTTGGGCTGGATGTACACACCCACATCCCAACCCAACCCAAATGTGATCATATGCAATCCCCAACCCACCAATTGAAGATTGCAGCCGATCTCCCTATGATTGCCTCCAATTCCCTCTCCATCCATTCCCAGCTCATTTCCGATGTAATTAAAGAGCCTTGCGCTATCACTTCAAGCTCAGTTCTAACACTTGATACACGCCTAGGAGATGTAGATGATGATATTTAGACGATGCATTGGACTTGGCTTTGAATAACATGTTAAGCTGTAGCGCTCAGGGGGGGAAATGGACGGCAAAGGGTTAAAAGATACGTTAGTTAGGTGTGAGTACACAGAAAATGAGCTGGCTGGGGTGAAGGCGCAATTAAACCTCGGCCATGTTCAGTTTAGGACAGACGACCACATGAGGTTGGGAAGGTGTGGAAGAAGAGAGTTTTGTCAGTACAGAGGGTGGGACAAGAGAGGGCAGGCTGGAGGCAGAGGGAGACTAAGAGATGGACGGACAACAAAAAAATGTAGGGAGACTAAAATCACATGAACCCCCAAAAATAAATCCATAGCCGCATAACCTAAATGTCACACGCAAGCAAGAAAACCAGGACTTTTGGGGAATGAATTGTGTATGGCAACGTGGCAGCCAAGCCAGGCTGAATACCCCACAACTCCTCTTGCTGACCGTTTCCCTCCACGGCCCAGGTTTGATGAGAACCACAAACTTAAACCGAACTCATGAACTTCTAAAGCTGAACATGAACTCATTCACCTCAAACCAAACTGCAATTCACCTCAAACCAAACTGCGACTCACCTTTTACTCATGCCTGCCTCTCTCCATGCTCGTCTCATCCCCCAGTCGGGTCAACAAGTGTGTGCTTGCTGTCCCTCCATCCATCCATGCCCTTTTTTCTCATCCATGCCCACTATTCTTATGTCCATGCCCCTTATGTCTCCTCACTTCTTCCGCCCCAACGCACACGACGCACATACAGGTCTCTTTCACACAACAACTTCACGGGCTCCATTCCTAACCAGATCTCCAAGATTTCTTTTGTCGATTATCTGTATGAAGCACCTCGTTCAAGCCTGGCGATAATCACGAACATGACCAAAGTCTCATAGCCTAGACAGATGTCACACGCAAGCAAGAAGGTCTCGATGTCTCATATTAAGGAGTTTTGGGTGATTCGAACATATATGGCCATGCAATTGGCAGCCAAGAGGCTGAATACCCTGCAACCCCTCTTCCCGGTCCAGGTTCGAGGAGAACCACAAACTCGTCAAACCCATGTGTGTGACTTGAACCAGTTCGGCCAATTGGAGTCGGCACGAACTGTTTGCCTTAGACCGAGCTGAAATCGAATTCTTTTTCGTGCCTGCCACCCACAAAGATCATCTCATCCCCAAATTGGCTTGACCGTTTGTACTTGTTGTCCCTCGGTCTATGCCCACTATTCTCATCTCCTCGGTGGTTGCACCCCAACCCACACCACACACACAGGTCTTTTGCAATGAACCGTTTGACAGGCCCCATCCCCGACAGCATATCCAAGCTTGATCATGTTTCTTTTCTGTATGAAGCACCTCATATATACCTAATGATGAGCACGGACACGATCAAAGATAACATAGATTCTAAAACTCAAAGTTACGTTATCCCGATGTCACACGCAAGAAAGAAAAACAAGGATAGGGTATTAGGAAAGTGAATGGCTAGGGATGAGCAAGATTAGGGCCGCATGCTAGCTTGGCCCTGCCTGCTTTTAGGCTGGCCGGGCCGGCTCCCTTGGGTAGACGTGAGCGATGACCTTCCACTGCCCGGCTTGTGACGAGCCAGCTCCAACCACTGTCTAAAGTGCAGGCCATTGGCCGGTTTGCCACGATGCAGGACTATGGCTAGGTCGGATCGAGGCTTGTCCGATAGGTGACGATCTAGGGAGGCTCATCTTAAGCCTGGCGGTTCGTCATGAGCTAGCTAGGGTGGCGATGGGTTCTAAAGCAGCAGTATACATTTGGCAGGGCGAGTTCCTAAATTTTATAAATGGTACATGGTGGGGCCGAAATCGTGAGGCACACTGTAAGAACCGGAACCCCAGTGTCAAATGTATGCTGCTTCAATGGAATCATGGACAGCCACATCAAATAACCCCTAAATTCTTCTCATCGGTCCCTGGACGGACCTGCATATGTAATGTGGTTGGCGCTGACATGTTGATGGACGGACCTGCCTATCTCAATGTTGATTGAAATCAGTTACTAGAGTATTATGTTTGCAAAGGAATCACATTCTCACCCCTCAGGAAACACTAAAGGGTTGGGTTTTTGCAACACCAACTTTAACACACATGAAGCCGCCATACCAAAAGTATTTGTATGGTAAGTAGTAGTTGAGTACCAGCTGGTGGAAATGACGTTTGAAGCTTGCATCACCCTGGTCGTTGACAAGCCCCCCCGGCTCTTTGAGTCTGATCAGCTCGTTTACCA